ACGAAAATTAGAAGAAACGTAAGGGAAATAAAGTTAACGTAAGCAACCTGTCAACGAAAGATCTGCTCGATCATATTCGCCACTTTTTAACACAATTACAATCAAAAAGTCAAACATGTAAAAATAATTCAATTTTTTGTGAGTATAAATTTTATTATTTCGATTATTGAATGCGCGCTTGAAAATATAAATAATACTAAATGCACCAGAGTGATTGCATGGGAGGAAAATGCTCGGACCCAAAGCCATTTATGAGTATAACCTATTCTTTGGTCACTCTGGTGCAAATTTAAATTTCTTTGTCTTCTTTACTATCATTACTATTAATAGTATTGTCACTGTCATCTATTTCTTTATTTTTATCAATCCATTCTTCGATAGCTTCTAGCGTTCTCTTCTTCGAATTCATTTTTCGTTTGTAAAATTTTTCAACGTGGAGGCTACAACGCCTTTTCCTTCGCGTAATTCGCGGATTTCATTGGCCATTTGATTAAATGAAATTTCGAATCCAGCCTGGTTTTTTTGTCAAACAGGTTCTTCCACAGGTTTTCGACGTCTGATAAGTACCTTCGTTCGCCGAATTGATTACTTGATTTATTATTGCGCCTTTTCGTAGGCTCGATTAAATTGATTATTTTATCAATTTTCTGATTCATAATAAGCAGCTGATCTTTGTGAATTTTACAATAAAGGGAATATCCAAGGATAATTCCGATCAATAATTCGAGAATAAATTCGCTTGTGAGAGCAAACATTTCAAAATGATAAAGTTGGATAGATTTTTGTCGCTCGTCAATCGTTTTTATAGCAAATCTTTTTGGGTCACGATATTCTAACTAAACGTCATCATGCGTAATCGACATGCACAAATTTTTGCGCATCAATTATCATTGGTCCCATTTTACATACAGGGGAACAATATTACATTGTGAAAAGGTCTAGAAAGTTCTAATATACTAATATGTCATTGATTAAGCCACTGATCGTTGTTGCTATATTAGATCACATCGCGCAGCAGCATCTTCCACTCGAACGAAAAAAAATGGCAACAGTCGAAGACGCAAGACAAGAGCTTAACGATGCGAAGGAGCGACTCAGGAAGTTTGAGGAGGATGAGGACGAGGGATTGTTATTGAAGAAGTTGAGGAGAAATAGGAAAGGACTTGACGAAGAAGACAAGCTGGAGAAGGCTAGGCTGGAGGAGAGGCAGAAGCAGTTAGAGGCAGAAGTGGGAGAGTGGGGAGCGAAGCTCCGTGAGTTGACTCAACCAGGTAACGATTTTGTGACTCGGGCGTTGGGGACATAGAGTAGTGTGTAAATTCAGTTACGGAATGAGCTTACGTATAATTTTAATTTCTGTTGTGTTGTTGCATTCAGTGAGCGAGCGTGCATCGAAGAGACCCCGTATTGATACAACAGCTACCATTTGTCAAAAACTAATATCTAAATTTGAAACGATCCCAACCCGTGCAGATCAACTCGAACCTTTAATAAATTCACAACTTCTTTGCAAGCTGCCAGCGTCCAGGAACGAGGAGGAAAAGGTTTGACATCAGCCTTTCACAATGTGTTGTGACTACCTGCGTTAATAGTGAATTATTTACCAATTTTTAGGACTCCGAACTTGTGGGATTGATCTATACAAATGAAGACGACCGTTATGGTGATTTGGCTTACCATATTTCTGTAGCGCTATGTAAACAGTTTAACGACAATGTCTCGGACATTGAAAGTGAGGATGATGTGCACCACGTCATAGATTGTCTGATCAAAGATACATTCCGTCTGTTTAATCGTAATGCTGTGCCTGGGAGTCTAGATCTTATGATTTGTCGTAACACTGTAGATAGGTAAGCTTTCATCTGGCATCATTGTGTTTACAGTTGTGTGTTCTGATTTACTTTAAATTTTAAGGGGGGTGACGACCATGACAGTAGGTACTTGTCGGCCAGATTTCCTTGTTCACAATAAAAACGTTCTTGTACTCAAGGGCGAGGAGAAGGCTACTCCGAATATGTTTCAAGATGCTTTGGGTGACCTCACGAATAAGTTCGATAAGCTCGATCCTCTTTTTTTTGGCGATCAACAATTTCTTATCTGTTATGCTGTGGCTGGATGGAAAATCGGCTTCTATGCTATTGACGGTACACCAGAGGCCGCGTCGAAACCTAGTCGTTTAGTCACTCTGTCACCTCAATTCGACCTCCGGAAAGTCACAGATCGGATCACTGTTATTTCTGTGGTCATCAATATATTGCGAATTTTGGTGACAATAGGACCTTCTCTTTCTAATGATGTTATTCCTCTCTATTTACCAATTCAACAAGATTCGGGCTCAACAATTACATTTAATGACGACTCAGTCGTAAAGGAGCTTAGTTTCAAATACCTTCCATATGTTGATGGCAGTTTGAAAGAGCGTATTGCATTTCTAACAGAAATGTATGATCATGCAAAGGGATGTTTGAGTCTTGTTCAGCTTGCAAAGGCACCTATCAAAAGTCGCTTGACATACAGATTGATTATGACTACGCGTGGCATTCGAAGGTTACCGTGTAATGAGACTGAGTTACGTTCGATGGCAAGAAGCTTACTTGTTGGGCTGGACTGTCTGCACAGCGGCAATTATGTGCATCGCGATATTCGAGAACCCAATGTCCTGTTTGTGCCTGAAAACCCTGCTGGTTCGAAATATGTACTCATAGACTTCGAACATGGTGGTAAAGCTAATGAGAAGATGAATGAACGACTAAGTGGTTGGGATCATAGGACCCTTTCCAACAGCAAATATACTACGTTGTCTGACATATACCAGTTGGGGAAACTGATAGAAAGGCTTATACTGCACTTTCGAATGCCAATTTCAGATAATGGAAAGACTTTTGTGATGACGTTGAAGGAGAAAAAAATGAATGCTAAACAGGCGCTTCAACACGCATGGATCACAGATACAAACTTTCAATAACGTAAGTTGGATGTTTTCACAATCGATTTTTTACTAAGCCTTTACTTCGTAAAAATCTTGTACATATTGTCGCAGTGTTTTAGTCTGCAGCATAATAATAATCACTACTATTCGATTTGTGTTATTACAATGCCGTTTGTGAATAAAATGCATTCTTGCTCAGAATCTGAAATTGGTTCTCTGTTAATTAGGAACGGGTTATTGGATAAACAAATGTCACCCCATATCATAAATAAATTTGTAAAAAACTACAGTAAATCATAAAATTTATATATAGGATTACCCGTATATGGAAAATTATAATTACAACGGTTCAACCGAATATGAAAAAGCAATGCGTTTCTTAGAGATAGGTTGCAATTGTGGTTGTTCAAAAAAGATTCCGAGAGAAAAATTTGCTGAATTACGTGAGGCGTTTCAAGCTCTCTCTAGATCTGAACAAGATATATTCTTAATGGCCCAGCTGAAAGCAATGAATGGTGGAGAAATAACTGCCAGTCGACGTCTTAAAAAGAAAACGCGTACTAATAA